GTCTGTGCATCTAGCCGCGAGCCCAGACTCCGTCTGACGCGATGACAACGTCCCCGCCCGAGGGAGGAACCTGCCCGGGGGGAGCGGTGACGGCGGCGCCGGCGGGAGGGGCGCCTGGGCCGGAGGGAGCTTCGGCAGCGAGGGATGTGCCGGTGGCGGCTGTGCAAGGGCAGTGCCGGTGGCGGCTGTGCGAGGGCAGGGGACGTTGGTGCTGCTTGGCCGGAGGAGCCAGGGCGGCAGGAGAGCAACTCCGATCCGGCTCGGCACGGCTTGTGCTATCGGAGTCCAACGGTGCCGCGGCGTGGGGGGTGTGGGGGTGGAGGCGGGCACCGCGACGGTCTGCGTGTACGGCGTCGCCATCACGTAGTCTCCGACGTCCGCATCGCCGACGGCGCGCGCCTGCCAGGAAGTGTCTAGGAAGTGTCTAGGAAGCGTCTAGGAAGTGTCATCACGTCGACTCCGGAAGTGTCTAGGAAGTGTCTAGGAGGTGTCGTCGCCTGGGCGATGCCTCCCGGCCAGAGGCGGAGCGGGCCGGCGGGGTCGCCTAATGTGCGCTTCCGGGGAGGGATCCGAGAAGGTTCGGGGAAGGCTCCGCGCGTGGGCGGGCGCGGGTCTGCCGTTGCGGTTCTTGGCGTGGGCGATCAGGCCGCCCATGGCGAGCACGCGCGCCCGCTCCGGCTCGGACGAGTCGAGGCGGTGGTCCTACGCCAAACACACGCCAGAGTCGGGGCCTGTGGGTACAGTCTCGTGCGCCGTGGCGTCGTTCCACGCGTCGCAATAAATACCGGGGCAAGGGAATACCGGGGAGTACAGCCGAGTCCGCGCCCTCTCGAGTGCTAGCTGGTACACGCGGGTCTGCGTTGCTTCCAGGGCGGCGCTCCTCAGTCAGCCGGATAGGCGCGCCCGCGCCCCGCGGCACCAGCCACGCCTCCGAGTCTCCGAGGTTTGCGACAGAGAGCTCGCCGCGCACAAGGTTGAGGGCGACGATCGTGATGGTGGAGCCCGCCGTGGTGAAGCCCTTGATCTCCCGGTGCACCCGCTCGCACGACGCCTCGGACGCCTTGAGCAGGGACTCCGAGCACGGGTCGTCCGCCGCCTGCTCGACCCAGTAGTCGAGGAGGTGGTCGCGACAGTACTGCGAGGCTTGGCGGCCTCCGTGTCCGTCGGCGACCAGGACGACGATAATGTCCTCCTGGCCCACCACCACCTGCCGCGAATTGCCCTGCGTGGAGTGCACCGAGTGGACGGATGCCTCCATGTCCTCCGGCGTAGCGTACAGCCGCCGCGAGGCAAACCGGTCCTCACCCTTCAGCTCGCGCTGTTCCGTCCCCAGCTGGCACGACCACGCTCTCTCGACGACGGCGAGCCCGCCGTCGTCGCTCGATGGCAGCCCCGCCGAGGCTAGCCCGCCGTCGTCGCTCGATGGCAGCCCCGCCGAGGCTAGCGACTCAGCGCCCTTTGTCGGAGAGTCGGCCATAACTTGACGGGTTCACTCCCCCGCCCCCTTCACCCCCCCCTCCTCTGCAGCCTCGAAACCAAGTGTGGAACCAAGTGTGGCACGCTGCAAAAACCCTCTAACCTCTTCCTACCCAGGTTTGCGACTCTGCGTGGCCGACTCACACAGCGAGCCTTCCTGTCTCCCTGCTGCCGGTTCATCGGGCGTGCACGCGTGCTCAGCCAAGGTATTGTAGAGACCGACCATATGCACAATATCTTGACTGAGAGCTAAGCCCAGTTCGACGATCGGCAGCCTCACCGCGGGTCGCGCCGCTGCGCAGCGAGAGCCAGGCTCGCCCGGCGAAGGTGACCAGAGAGTGCTCAACAAATACCAGCCAGAAAAATTCAGGGAGCCTCAGGGAGTGCCACTGCCACCACCCAGGCCGCGGGAGCCGAACGGCTGCGCCGAGGACAGCTCCGTCAGTGTGCTCCGCGGCTCACCAGTGTTCTCAATGGCGGCTTCTCGCCCACCGCCGTTCTCAAGCTGCGCCGCCTCGCGCGCAAAGAAAGTCGCGCGCGGCAGCGTTGTTACGGCGTTGACCGCACAGCCTACTCGCCCAAGTACTCGCTGCCCTACTGTGTGAATACGTATTCCACGTATTCCAAATGACCTCCAAAAAGGGCCGTATTCCGTATAAAATTGCAGTTTTAGGCCGTATTCCACACGTATTTATTCCGGAATACAGGTACGTATTCCAAACGAGGGACAAAAATGGACGCTGCCCGCCGAACCCGTTGAACCGTGCCGACCCGGCCATCGCGGATGACGAGGGGCGCAGAACAGAAGCCCCGGGGCCCGGTGCACATTAGCCTGCTCCTCTTTGGCGCTGTCCGCTCCGACCTCCAGCTCGCAGTCTCGCTCGCCAGCGTGCAGCAGAACCTGCTCGCGCCGCTCACCCACGGCCACAGCCTCTACAAGGTCTCAATCCACGGCAGCATGGACTGCTCGCACCCGTGCACGCTCGCGGCCGTTCGTTCGGCATTCGCCGGGCCGAAACTGCGGGCAGACACGCTCGTGGTCGAGGGGGGTGTGAACTCGACCGATTCGATGCTGCGGTACCGCCGCGCCATGGCGCACGCAGCACGGGCAGCCGCCGTTGCCCTGCGTGCTGGCGCAAAGCTAGCCATCGCTGCGCGTGTCGATGTGGAGTACGCAAGCCCGATTCACCGCGACCTCGTCCCCCCGGGAGCGACGCTGACCTGGCAGGTGTCGCAAAACGCCTCGGCGAGTGGGGAGTGGCGCGGCGGCGGGCCAGCATGGATCGTGGTCCCCGACTTTGCTCACTTTCACCAACTCAACGACCGATTCGTATACGGCCCGATGGGCACGGTTCTGGCCTTGTTCGAGTGGCGCCTGCATAACATGGCGGCTGACTTGTTTGCCGAGCACCTGGCGTGCCTGGCAGCGCGGACGCTCAAGGTCGCTGTCCTCGCTTCGCCAATCAGGTTGGTCCGTCGCCGCAGCGACTTATCAGTGCCAGACGCCGACAGGATTTTGGCTTGGAGGTCTATGCCACAGCGAAGCTGGATGCGTGCGGCAGAGAGCGGCTCTTTTTGCCGGAGAGAGACAAAGGTGCGCTTTTGGGGAGGCGACGCAACCAGCTGCCAGCCGAGCGATTTGACATGCAAGCTCCCGACGCGTTTGTATTCCGTATAAAATTTTCTTCGCTCCGCGAATTCACACAGTAGGAAGTCTCTCTTTTATGTCCCACCATGCAGAGCGCATCTCTCTCTCTGTTGTGCGAGGCGTGAACCGCGCCATTCGCTCTCACCTGGCAACCCTGTCTGCACGTCTCGCGCGCGCGTGAACAGGGCAGGCCCCAAATGACGTGTGCGTGTTAGAGTTGTTTGGTATTGCTAAAAATCTCTCTCTCTCCCAGTGTGACACAAACAAACAATGACGTGTGAGTGTTAGAGTTGGATAGGGTGCCCACAGGACCCAAAAGAAAATAGCTTTCCGACTCAAAAAGGGACGCACGAGGCAAATCTGATGTTGGCCAGTTCCAATAGGAGAGAGGCCTCTTCCGTTGGGGGACCGAGTACATAGGAAACGAGGGTTCCCCGGTTTGTCACGCGCGAGCACGAGCGTGACACTGCACTTGGCGCCGAGCGCCCGCGGCTCAGACCTTGTGCAAGCCACCCCTCGGTGGACACGCCGGTCCGGACCGGTGGCGCTCGGTGTGGAGCAAGCAAGACCCCCCCCCCCCCCATCGGCGCGCGCTCGCCATTCCAACGGCCGCCAGGAGCACCAAGAGGACTCCTCATGGCTGTGTCCAAGTGGGCTTCGACCGGCCTCGGCTGGGGGGGCGGGTTGTCCCGGTTGCGGACGCGTTCTGCAGCCCCCTGGGCCCGTGACAGCACCCCAAAACTGCCCCTCGGCGGCATACAGCACTGCCAGCCAGCCTCTTCCTCCTCCTCAAGGGCTGTACTATAGGCCATATTGCGCCGCCTCCTACTGGCAGCCGGGCGGGCGCGCGCCGCGGGCGCCTCGGCGCGCGCACGGCTCGCAAAGTTCGAACGAGTACTGCCGCCCGGCCGCCTCAAGGCTGCCGGGCGGCAGTACTCGCCTCGCAAGGCGCGCACCGGCTGCTCTGGCTGCTGCGCCGGCGGCCGCTGCGCTGGCCGCTGCTGCGCCGGCTGGCGGGCGACACGGCCGCCGGCGGCCGCTGCGCCCGCGCCTTCCCTCGCGGGCGCCGTCGCGCCGCGCGCGCCCAATTCTGCTGGTACACGGCACGCGTCGTCACACAGCCGCGGAGAACAGGCGGTGCTGTGCGCGAAGCGCGCGCGAGCTCGTACTTTTAAGGCTGGATCCGGCCATTCCAAGGGTATACCTTTGAGAATCCCCAGCGTCCCACCCTCCTAGTCACACTCTCAATATCTCGACTAGCCAACACGAGGTGCTGCGATCGGGGGCGGCCCATTTGTTTTTTCTTTTCTTTTTTTGGGTCCTGTGGGCACCCTAAGTTGGAGCACTTGGATGTTTGGTATTGCTAAAAATCTCCAGTGTGCGCCGCGGCGCCGTCCAGCCACTTTTGAGAAAAAGTCGGCCGGGGCATCTATATTCTCGAGAATATTCTCGAATACGAAAGTGCGCGGGACCATCTATATTCTCGGAGATATTCGAGAATAAGGTGCTTAGGCCAACCTCTTCTCATCCTCTCCCCTCTCCTCCTCTCCTCTCTCCCCCCCTCTCCCCCAGCAGCTTCCTCGAGGCCGAACAGGTAGATCCTCCCTGATCGCTAAGCTACCACAGGGGAAGTAGACGTCGTCCGCCGCCGCCTCCGCCGCCCGCGTGCCTCCGCCCCGCTCAGCAAAAAATCAGCATTATATCAGGAGGTGCCAAAGCCGCAGCATCTCCATGAGGTGAGCGTCGTGCGTTTTGCCGCCGCGTGCCGCCGCTGCGCCGACTGGCTCCCGGTTCGAATCGCCCTTCGCGGAGCGAACGCGGCGAACGAGCGCACGTCGCGCGCGTGTGCGCCTGCGACAAGACGAGACGAGAAGAGAAGGAGAAGTAGACGGTTGTTGTTTTTGCTGCCGCGGCCGCGCCGCGAGCTCGCGTCTGTTTTGGCGCCGACGACGCGACGCGCCCCGCTACGTGAGATGGCGCCGCCGCGGAGTCGGCGCCGCGTTCAACCGCGCGCCAGCGGCGAGCGGCGCAGCGCGGCCACCATGCGGCGCGACGTGCCCGCCGAAGGAGTTTTTTTTTCATTTTTCGGAAATAGTGCCAATCGATAGATCTCGCCGAGCCCTTTTCGGTGGTGTGCCTAAGCTTTTTTTCGCACGGGAAGCATTTTTCCGAGGCGGAAACGTGAATTGCACGACTAGGGACCTAGGCCGGTTCCACCAATATGTATGACGAAGAATGTTTGAAGAGGCTAATATGGCCGATTTCGCGCCGCCACCGTGTCGCAGGCTGTCCGAGGAGGAGTTGACCGCGCGTGCAGGGCTGCGCGACATGCTCCCGGCTGGCGCCGCCGTGCACGAGTGCGTGCGCCGCGACGCGCAGCGAGGAGGCGTGCTGCTGGTGCCGAACTATGTTGCGCCGACTGAGGCGGCTCTGTTGGGGCACGCGGCGCAGGAGCTGCTCGTTCGTCGCGCAGAGCCCCCGGGCAGGGCCGGGAGAAGAGCTCCGCGCGAGTACAATTCGAAGACGCTGCCACTCGCGCAGCTGCGCGCTGGCCCACACATCATCCAGCAGTTTGGACGGCTGCCCGGTTCGACCCGCGTGGGGCGGGCGGCGAGCGTGCCCGGCGAGTTCGTGCAGGTGGCGCGCACGGGCAACCGCTCCGCAGGCCTCAACATGCACCACGACCGGAACCGTGCTCCCACGCGGCTGCTGACGGCGCTGCTGTACCTCGGAGAGCGGGCCGAGCCTGGAGGACACACCATCTTCCCTCTCTTCGACGCGCCGGCGGCTCGCGCCTCCTCGTCCCCCGCCGTCGCCGCCTCCTCCGCCGCCGCCGCCGCCGCCGCCGCGGAGAAGGAGGGTGCTCTCGCCCTCTCGTCCCTGCGCCGCCTCGTCCGGCCGCACCTGCACCAGCTCGAGCGCGACAACTCACAGGCTCTCATCTTTGCGGACGGGAGGGAGGGAGCGTTCGGCGGGGCGGTGCAGCGGCTGTGCGCCGCGGTGGTGCGCGCGGAGCAGACGGGCGTGCCGCCGCCCTGCCTCGCCGTGCCGCCGACGCCCGGCACGGCCGCAATCTTTTACCACTGGAGAGAGACGCGGACGGGGCTGGCGCCAGAGTGGTCCAACTTCCATGTCGGCTGCCCCTCGCTCGGCCTGCCCTCACGGCCCAAGCTCGCGCTGCAGAGCTTCCGGCTGAACCACTCGCTGCCGGTGGGGCCGTCGTCCGGAAGCTCCCGTGGAGTCCGCACCTCTCGAGGAGGAGGAGACTGGGCGGGCCGCCACAGGGCGTCGGGGAGGGCCAAGTGGTGAGAGACGACTCCGGCGCCAGCGGGGGGCAATGAAGGGCGACGGAGTGACATTTTGTGTTGTCGGCTATGGGTATCGTGAAGGTCTAGGTGAAGAAGGTTGCTTCCCCAGGATTAGTCTTCTCTGCGCTCACATTCACAGGGCAGGCAGAGCGGCGACATGTGACATGATCGCCTCCCTCAACCGTCAATCTGCCGGGCCGGCAATTTGCCCTGGCCGGCGTGGCGCTGGCGGCCGCCATGGCCGCCGCCGCGGCCCTCGTGTGACACCTCGTGCGGCTTGCGTGCCATCCACTGGAATCTGCCAAACGACTCGTAGGTCACATTGTAAACCTGAAAACTCCGTCCCCCGGGGGGTGTTGTCAAGGATTCCTAATGTGCAACAACCAGGCGCCGTGGCATCGTTGAGTGTGGAAAAAGAATTCGAGGCCGCGCTCTCGCGTCCTGTCGTGGCGGTACTGCGCAAACAAACACGTCGGCCTCGTCGGCCTCGCCAGCCGCGTCGACCCCCGCGCCCTCGTCGGCCTCTCTCCTGCTCCTGACAAGGGAGCCTTGAATGTAATAGCTGAAGACGATTGTTTCTCGAAAAAAAGCAGCGCCCGTAACAAACGCCGAAATTGGAAGACCGTCGGGCGCTAAGCCTTCAAGCTCCGCCGGTGCTTCTGAACCCGATATACACACAGATATGGCCCTCCTCACATCCCTCGCCCTCCTCAGCGGCGGCGACGTCCTCACGCGCAACGGACTGATGCGAGAGCGCAACGGACTGGTGCGACAATCACTCCTCTCGAGCACGCACATCAATCATCGAGCGCACCGCTCACTCGTCTGTCGCTCGCCACAGGCCAGCCTTGCTGCTCTGGCGATTTGCTTCCAGCAGGCCAGCGCTTTCAGCAGCACACCTGACGTCTCGCCGTCGCCGTCGCCGGCTCCGACGCCGTCGCCGTCGCCGTCGCCGTCGCCGTCGTGGCCGTCATCGTACCGCTTCATCGTCAACTCGTGCGGCGACATCAAAGGCCCGACAATGCACCGCAGGATCCTCGAGGCCACCGGCGTCGACTTCCGCCCAGAGGACGACGAGGTCCAGTACTCCAAGACGTGGGACTACATGCGCTCGCTCAGTCCGGACGCGGTTTTCCTCATGGGCGACAATGTCTACAACGATGGCATTCAGAACTGGGGCTCTGAGGGCTATGGCTCTCCGTATGGCCAGGCGATACCGTCGTACCTCAGCGACGCCTCGTCCGAGTTCATGATGCTGCACGGCTACATGACGGAAGCGGGCGAGCCGGGGGTCCACTTCCACTCGTACCTCGAGCTCCTAACTGACAAGCTCCACGACGGATACTCGCACAACGACGCGTTCGACCGCCTGCGCGCTGCGACCAGCAACCACATTCACGTCACATGGGACGACCACGACTATCTGACAAACGACCCTTCGAACCCGCACCTCTTGCGCTCCGAGTTTCGGCGCGTTGAGATCGACGCGCTCTCCGGCGTCGACCTTGAGCACATGCGCAATCCTCCGGGCTCGCAGGGCATCGAGCGCTCGTGGACGCAGAGCTTTGACAACCACGGGCAGGAGTTCGTTGTCCGCTTCATCATCCTCGACGAGGAGACGACGCACTCGTCGACAATGGGCATGAAGTACGTCTTTGACGAGACCTCGCCCACCGGGTGGAAGCCCGTCCGCGCGTCGGGCCCAGACCAGACGACGCCGACCCTCAACGCCGACCCGGCGTTCGTCGAAGACTTCGAGAACCCGTCTCGCCCCTTTTTTGGAGACGATCAGGAGCGCCCCCCACACTCTTCCGCACGCCCCTTCAGCTGCCCACCCTCGCGGTTGACGGCGCCCTCCTGCCTGTCCGCAGCTCGCGTGGTTCGTAAACGAGCTCAAGAAGCCCGCCGACTTGCGCCTGGTGTTCAACGGAGGCCCCAATTTTGAGATCGACTACTCGTACGCATCGCTCACCGATGTGCCCGGCGCCAAGCGCCGCTTCGTCGAAGCGCTCCGCGAAGCAAACGTCGAGAAGATTGTCTTCTTCGCCGGCGATTCCCACGCCACCTACGTGACGAAGGTCCCGGACCTGCTCCCGTATCCGATCTACACCGTCGTTGGGTCGGGCATGACTCAGGGCCTCTCGTACGATCGGTATGTCGGATACTGGGGCGACATCTCGCACCGCCATCTCGTTGCCGCCGGGTCCAACGCCAAGTACGACAACACCGCTTCCTTCGCCGAGGTGGAGCTCCTCTTCGACCCGGAGCCGCTTCTCCGCTTCACCCCACACCTCGCTGATGACGCGCGCACCGACGGCGCCGACCCGGCCGTCGTCGTGGGCGCCGACGCGAACGGCCGGTGGGGCCCGTGGCGCGAGCAGACGACCGACAACCCGGAGGAGATGTGGCCGGCGCAGTACGATATCCGGCTGTCGGAGCTCGTGAACCAGTACAACGAGGCGGTCGAGTCGCGACGCTTTGTCACTGAGAGCATCTACCTCAAGTACGAGCCACCCGCTGACCACGAGGTGACGGACGTCACTCTCTCAATCACGAACGCGAAGGGCGCGACCAAATACTTCCCCCTCGCCGCGGGCGCCTCGTGGCACCTCTGTGGCGAGGGCTACTGGGGGATGTGCAAGGACAAGTACGGCGCGTTCACATACTCCGTGCCGCGTGCCGGCGATTACATCCCGTCACACGAGAACCGGGCGATGTGCGAGCACGCCGGCCTTGTCGGCGACACAATCTCGTGGTCGATCACCGCGTTTGACAACACCTCTACGACCGTCGACTTCAAGTCGGGCACGCACACGCTGCTCATCCGCAACAACGCCCTCATCTGGCCAGTGGAGGACGTCGAGGCGTGCACGATGTACGGTTCCAGCGCAGGGGGTGTTGGCTGTGTCAACTTTACCTCGACGCGCGTCTCGTACTCGTTCGTCTCGGGCCCGACCATCGGCGTCGCCGTCGCAGACATCGTCGACGAGCCGGTGCTCTACGGCGGGTACAAGACCCCGGTCAAGGGCTTCGACTTTTCCACCGACTCCTTTGACCTTGCTTCGGTGCAGGAGCTCTACCAGCAGTACCGAGCGGTGCCGGGGCCGACGGAGGACGAGGGCCCGTCAGAAGACAAGCTGGCGGCCAAGGCTCGGCTCTCGGCCGCGTACCTACGCGCCTACTACCCGACCATCGAGGGGATGTGAGCCCCTCGACTGTGCGCGCTCATCTCTCGCCACCCTCCCGAAACTCCGTGCCATGCTCGCCTGTCTCGGGCAGGCTGGTAGCTACGCGGGGCGAGAGTACTAGTAGATAGATGCGTGTTCGAGAGCGTTTGGTGGGCGGCGGCATGGCGGTGGGCGTGCAAGTGCGCGACCGTGAGCCGTCGGCGCGTGTCACACCTGCCACAGCCGACCTGGTGCCCTGTTGTACTTTTGAGTTGGCGTGGTCTCCGTTGTGGTTGCCACCTGTGCCCTGTTTGTCCGGATGTCGGCCCGTTTTGAGTTGGGGGTCAGTGTTATCGGGTTGCTGATGTGTCTCCACTCGGGGGCACACCACTCACCACCGTAGCCACCGTCAGCTATCTATCTCACACACCGGAGAGGGGGGACGACACTGCTTCAGCAGCGAGCGTGCACCTCGATCCCGTACCTTATTTGTTATGACCCCTCCCCCCCCAATGAGCACACCAGCGAGGGAGGGCGAGACGATCGAGGGGTCCCGTACCATGCGGAATCGACCCTATCCATAGTTTTTCAAATATGGAGTGCGATGGCGGGTTGCGAGACACATAAAATTGAGAATGAATGAGAATGTGGGTCGGCGGCTTGGGTGAGTTCGCATGTCTCACAGTGGGCAATCCTCCTGGTTGTCCTTGAACGCGTAGCGCGTCATGCGGTCGTCGAAGCCGTCCCCCTGCAGCAGCTCGACTTGCACGTACGGCTGTTTGTCGGGTTTGATTTGCAAGAGCGCGATGCGCCCCACGTACGACCGCGAGCTCAACCAGTCACGACCACCCTCGCGTGGCTTCGCCTCCTCCAGCGAGCCCTTTTTGAATGCCGCCATGATCGAACGTTACGTGTGTGCAGGTGCACCTGCGAGTAGTGCTTCATCTTTTGACATGTGTGATGAGTTTGTCTTTTGGTCGGTTTACGCGTCGCTTATTAGATCATCTGGCCCGCTGGGTGCGCTTCTTAGCTCCCCGGCCCTGGGTGTGAGGTTACCAACTGCACTCCAAGTGCTCCAAGTGCTTAGACTCCCTCGCTCGCGTGGCAAATCGCGTTACTTACTACGCTTCCACCCCGTCTGTAGTGAGTGCCCCGGCCGCGTCCTGTGTGTGTTTTGATTAAGTGAGCTGCCGTTGAGCACATCATAAACTTGGTCGCCGGTCGGTCGCCCCCCCCCGCCACCCACCAGGATCCAGGACAAACACCGCTCGGCACATCTAGGACGCTGCGGGCTCGACGCCCACCTCAGAGGGGGCCCTGCATGCCCGTCGCTCGTTGACTCAGCGGCCGTCAGAAAGACATCGAAGATGAATTCTGTGAAGAGCGTGACATTTTCATTGTAGAATAAAATAAATTTAGCGCGAGATGGCGCAGCCTATAATACGCCCGGACGAATTTTTCATGATCGTGGCGATTGGGACGAGGCCGATTGTCCGGGGATGCGGACCTTGCGCCGGCGGGGTGGCGTCCCTGTGGGCACTGCCTGCGCTCGGACAAGTGCGCTCGGCACCCACGCAATGTGCCTCGCCGGGCACCGCCTCTGAGCTCGGTATATACTTTCCCACTATGCCACGTCGCCCATCCCGGGATGGGCGACGTGGTATAGTGAGAAATGATATACGTCGCCAACTGCAAAACCACACTCCCGGGTCGCGGAACATGTGTCCGGTTTGGTTGCCGGCCGGGATGCGGTCGATCGGTGGACTCCTTAGTGCTTAGAGGAATTCATTTTTTCGACCGTCGGACTGGGATTCGAACTGGCGACCCAGTGTGGTTTTGCAGTTGGCGACGGCGGCAGAGGATGCAGTGACGTGAACCCCCCCCCCTCACACACACACACACCGACGCACACACACACACCGACACACACACACACACACACACACACACACACACACACACACACACACACACACACACACACACACACACACACACACACACACACACACACACACACACACACACACACACACACACACACACACACACACACCGCTCACCCACGTCGCACGTGCACTGGGCCTTGCACTTTTAATGCCGTGGGGCTCCTGTCGTTAGACGTGGAGACGCGAGGGTCGCCCCCTCTTGCCCCACCACCTCGTGTGTGTGGAGAAGTTTACCTTACCTTACCTTACCTTAGATCATTTTTCCCACTCGATGTGCCACGTCGCCCAGGGGGAGAGAGGAAGCCAACGCGACGTGCGCAGAGGATGAGGATATAAACTGGGACGACGCAGCGGAGGGGATAGGCGAGGGAATCGAGGGACCGGAGGGCTTTCGCGACAGCGACGATGACGACGAAGAAAGGGGAGGGGACGGAGGGGCGACACGCAGGAGGAGCGAAATCGCTAACGGCCCGAGCAGAGAGGGCGACGGCGGGGCACGAGGGAACAACGGAGACGCTACCGATGACGCGAACCGAGGCACGGACGCCGGCGGGGACGGGGAGGGCGACAGCGACGTCGAGGTTGACGCAACCGTATCGAGAGCGCCACCCAAAAAGGGGCGGACAGCCATGGAGGTCACCGAATGGAGGGCGAACGGCACGATGCGAAAAGGCAGGGCGAGGCGGATGGAGAAAGAAGTGCCGAGAAGGCCATGGTGGAGGGGAGGGACGGGAGGACGAAAGAAGGGCGAGGAGGACGAGCGGCCCGCACAGACCGCGAGCAGACAGCGCCTGCTGGCCATTTCGAGACATTCGCCAAGAACGCTAGCAACATGGGAGGGCTTCGTGAAGGATGGATTGAAAAACATTCGAACAAAGAAGAGGCGACGGGAGGAACCGGCGGAGGATGCAGTGACGTGAGACACACACACACACACACACACACACACACACACACACACACACACACACACACACACACACACACACACACACACACACACACACACACACACACACACACACACACACACACACACACACACACACACACACCGCTCACCCACGCGCACTGGGCCTTGCACTTTGAATGCCGTGGGGCTCCTGTCGTCAGACGTGGAGACGCGAGGGTTGCCCCCCCTTGCCCCACCACCTCGTGTGTGTGGAGAAGTTTACCTTACCTTACCTTACCCTTACGTCGCCCATCCTGGGATGGCGGTTGGCGCCAACTGCACCGGTCGACCAAATTTCTCACGTCGAAAAGATCACCCGGCCATGAAATAAATAAATAAAAACGGGACACCTCTACTGTGAGATGGGTAAAAAGACCCCCGGCCATGAGATATGGCTTTATTTTCCTGCTCAGCCAGGCGCCGACGGTATTCAACCGCGCGACTGCAGAAAAGCCGTACACATGTGAGATGATACACAGCATTCGTGTACACGAATACCACCCCCCCCCGCCCTTCCCAACACTGGTTTGTCAGTCACTGGACACATCCGTCACATGGCGTCTCTGCTCGAGAAAAATGGGAACGGCGCATGCGAATGGGGAGGGGGGGGGGGGGTAGAGGAGCATGCTCGCCGCGCAACCCTAGCCTCTCTAGCCGAACTCTCTAGCCGTGCTCCTCTAACCCTAGCCGCTAGTTCGGCTAGAGAGGCATGCTCCGTTGCTGCACGCCTGCCTGCGCGATCGCACTCTGTGCACCCGGTCTCGCCAACCGAGCGCATGGTGCGCGCCTGCACGTGCGCAGCAGCACCCCTAGCACTCCTCCGCACACGGCGCACGTCCGGAGGGGCTCGCTGCCCCCGCAATACAACAGTCGGCTCCTCCAAAAGAGACGCCCCTGCGGAGCGGAGAGGGCCAGCTCTCCGAAGTGCGTCGCCACGATCACGGCAAGCCGAGGGAGATGTGCTTGACCGCCATCTTGGGCGGGCTAGTGGAGTCCATCGGGAGGAAGTCGAGCTCCAGCGAGGGGATCCTCGACGTGTACTCGCGCCAAGACCCGCGGCACGCACTGAGGAGGGCCGCGCGCGCCGGTGCGGCGGCCTCCGGCGGTGCCGCTAGCCCGGCTGCGGAAGAGGGCACCACGCAAGCAAACGGCGACGGCGGGGGGCCGCCCTTGCCGGCGGAGGGGAGGTGCGACGAGGGGCGAGTAGACATGTCTGGCGGGCTCATGTCTGGCGGGCCGCACCAGAGGAAGGCCGCGAAGGCGCACGAGAAGGGGAGGGCGGCGTAGAGCCACGGAAGCCACAGCTCGCGCGTGTCGCCCGAGCGGCCGTGCCGCGCCGCCGCGCCGCTCATCAAAAGGAGTGGGAAAGCGACGGCAGCGAGGAGCTGGATGCGGGGCGGGAGCGTGGACGGCCTTTGCGCGCCAAGGGAGGCGCCTGTAGCGGCGGGGAGGAGGGGAGCGGTGAGGGGAGGGGAGGGGATGGAACGGGAACGGGGAGGAGGGGGGGGGGGGGTCCCAAGGGGTGAGGGTATCGCAGCAGCAGTGGGGAAGAGGGAGAAGGGGGGGGGGGGGGGATGATCCCAAAAAAAAGGGGAAGCCGGGGGGGGGGGGGGGGGTTCCCCCCCAAGCTTCCAAAAACTAAAGGTGTGAAAAACCCCCCCCCGGAAAACCCCCCCAA